GGAATAAAAAGAATAGTATGCCCATCTGACTAGGAAGAGGAAGCACCATAGTAATGCGCATCCCTGCAACAGTGCAAACTGCTGGTATGGGCACCTCACTCAATATCAGCCTGCTAGATATAAACAGGTAACACACGGTAAACAAAACCGCTTCTGTAGGGTTTTTTTAACTGAACGGAAAAACCAAAAATAAACAGATGATTTCAGATCAGAAACTAATATATGGACATTATTCCTACTATTAGATACAGCTTCATCCACTGAAAGAAAAGCAATATTCTGAGTACTAACATTTACAACTGCTCACAGCATTTTGCTATTTAAATGGTAGCAAAATGAAACAAAAATTCTCATATGTTTTCAGAACGTCATAAATTAACAATAACCCAATAGCTTAATAATGCTTGCTTGCTTTACAGTAATAGGTGACCTTTACATTTGCCAACAGTAGTAGGGAAAATATGTCTTTAAATACTTATTTCATAAAAATGGTTTCAATTGTTTGATGCTTATTTGTTTTTTAAAAAATACTGTATTGATATATCTAAATTGCTCTTTTGCATGCAAAAAGGTGGTATCTATATGATCAGTAGCAGTGATATATGAAACAATGCCTACACCACAAATATTTTCCAATCAGTGATTCCAGTCCAAACAAGATTAGGGGTTGCTTCAATGTTACCAATAATTCATGCACAAAGTAGGTGTGCTAATTATGGCAGATATCAACAAATGGAAGAGAATAGGTCAGCTGTTTACATTGATACCTGGCTTGAGACTGTGTAATCTGAAAAACATCAGCTCATGCCACCTGATCCACCCAAGCCAATCTCCTATGGGTGGCCACTCCAGGGGAGGTAAAGAAGCATCCATGGAGAACTGAAGCTACTCAGTAGTGGCCCCATATGTCTAGAATAGCATTCGTACAGAGATCCGTCAGGCCCTCTTCCTCCCAGGCTTCAAAAAGTTGTTAAGGAAGCCTTCACAGAGATTCTACCACTGCATTAACTAGGAGCACACTTTATCTGTTGGCCATCATCAGCGATTTGAGATTTTGTGAATTTGGGTTGTTTGGAATTTGACCAGGGTGGTGGGGAGGTGTATCAGGGTTAGTAGTCAAGTATGATGGTTACTTACATCAGTGGCAGCCATCCAGAGAGTTCTTCACATTAAAACGGGCAGAAAACAAACAAACAAACAATTAGTAGCTGTAGCAACCCCAGACCTACTGGAGTATACCACCCTGTAATTATGCTGCCACCAACCATTCCCTATAAGGAGTCACACAGACCAGGAATGGATTTTGATAAATAAAAGAACAAGGTTTATTAAATTAACAAACAGAGTAAATAAAAGAATCAGGTAAATAGGATAATGTAACGTGGCATAACCCCAATCACACACATACAACAGCTTGGTTCCCCCTGAACCCTTTAAGGTAACGCACAGACCCTGCACCTATCAGTTCTGGCTACCTAAATAGAAACCTGAACCTATCAGGTATGTACTAACTGACACACAGTTGTACTCAGTCTGACACACAGACTCCAACTCCTAACTCTCCACACAAGCTCCAAGTATATATACAGTACAGCACCTCCCCCCTGATGTCCCGCCTTCCACTCCCCATAGGATGGAACTTTCCCTCCAAACCCATGACAGACAGGTACCATCAGTGCTGTATGTGACAGTAGCTTCCTCAATAGCTTTCTACTGATTCCATCTTCCCATAGCAGAAATTTACATATCCTGAGCACATAAGGAAACTCACTTTGAGATGCCCAATATGCATAAAAGAATTTTGAAATGTAAGATACATGAAAGCATTATTTTAATCTACTTTGAAGTGTTATTTGATAAAGGATAACACGGCAATGTCAGTTCCTTCTTCCAGTTTTCTCTTTGAATGTTCAGAAGAGGAAGGCAAGGCATGAATTTTCCCTTCACACACTGACTTTTCCATTTGTTCTTACAATTCCCACATGTCCATATGGTCATACACAGGTGTAAGTATTATTTTCCATTCTTCATATTTTCCCAAATAGTCAGTTACTTTAAAGTTGCATTTTTGCAAAGTTGCAAATTTTGAACCACCATCAACCTAAAGTTTGGCTTGTCTATGTGATGGCTCCAGTGCTTTCAAGAGAAGGGCACTGAGTTCTTCCCAGTCCTCCACTCCTACTTTCGTATTGGCAACCAGAAAAATTCTTGTTATACATGCATCTGGTGATGATTTGTTTATGGATGGTGTAGTGATGCCATCAGACTGGGTGAATCAACATGGATCACTCTGACATACCTATGTGTCAACACATTTTGGGTTGATGCATGGGTTTAGCATCATGCTTCTTCCTCATCATATGCACTGCTGATTCAACAGTCCATGTCATCAGCTATGAAGTATGAATATGCACATGTGAGTATGCCTGATAGATGGACTGGTATAACTACCATTGTGAGATCCCATAAATTTGGCCTTTGCATTGGATTAAAATTCATGGATTTAAAGTTAAAACTTATAAAAGCACAAACCCATCTGTTGTTCTGCATAAGACACACTGAAATGAAAAGAAGCAGGAACAACTTTTCTCTGGCCCTCAATTCTTGGCTAGTTGATCTAGTATCTGACCTTCAGGCTGTTCATGACCATACCTCTTACTTCTGGCCCATGTGTTCATTGGCTTAGTTATTTAAAACCAGACTCTATGGAAGCTTTTTGAAAGCAAGGGTTTAGGACCCAGGCTGGACAAAAGGGCCAACATATCTGAGAATGTGATTCTTCACTGCAATGCCCCTTCAAGATATTTGGCATATCCCAGAGTATGGTGAGGTGGGGATCTCCCAATTTGAGAACTTTTCATTTCACAGAATTTAGAATCCTGTAGTTACCCTAATAGTAATAATAATGATGATGATGACGATGATGAAATACATAAAGTCTGTAGTTACCCTAATAGTAATAATAATAATGATGATGACGATGATGAAATACATAAAGAATGAGCAAAAGGTAACCTTCGGGCCATCAAAACCACAAACACAGGGGGAAGAGATAGGAATGTACCAATAAAAGAAATGTTCTACTGTGCTCTACAAATATTATTCTATTTTGTTCTATTCTATCCCCAAGTCTGAGTCTCTTGATGAAATGCCATTAAATATTGATGAAAATAATTAAAATCATAAAAGTTACTGCAAATATATCCAAGAGTGCAAACATCTTTAGACAGCCTGTATGGGAAATGGAAGAAAAAAGATAGTACAATGAAATAATTTCTGGCAAACTTAACTTTTAATATAAAGTTTCCTTTATCACATTAAATCCTATAATAGGCTATCATGTATTCATGTAGTTTCTTATAATAAAAGCTTGTATTGGTGTTTCAATTAGTGAGATAAAAGATGAAAATGACGATAAAGGTAATGATATTTGTTGAGAAATGCAGCTTGCAAAATTACCTGAAAAAGTAATTTTGCAAAGCAGGTAATTAGGGACAGCAAGAAAGGTTAATCAAGCAAAAAAATAGGATTCTCCTATCTTTCTTTTGCCTTGTATCACCCCGTATAGCCCACTTTCTAATAGTTTTTGCTTTGAATTATAAACCTACTACTATTTGTACTTTGTGGGACTAAGATAATGTTACACATAGACTACAAATTAAACCTGTATGCATTTTTTCATGTTTCACTCAAGAAAAAGTGTTTTAAGAAGCTTCTGCAATCAGTGTGGGGAAGGACACAGACCCCTTTCTGCATAAACTGCTGGATAGCTCAGTGGGTTGGGAGTTTGATTCCCTGCTTTGCCTCCTTGACAAGAGCTGGACTCAATGATCCATAGGGCCCCTTCCAGCTCTGCAGGTCTAAGATGATGATCTCCTTTCTCTGTTGCACCAACCAAGTAAAGGCAAACCACCAAGTAAAAACAAATATGCATGTAAAATCTTGCCAGGCTGAATGTAAAAAAAACCCGCAAGAGACATAAGAACTGGTGAAATGGCAACATGGCAGAAATTAAATGTAGAACAAAGGGAGGAAAAATTCTCCTTCTGGCAAACTACACTTCTGTCCTACCACTCCTCTCTCATGTTTGTCTACGTGTTTCTCTTGCTCTCTGCAACAATGTCAACAACTGTAGAGGCTCAGTGTTTGTCTACAAAGTGTTTGAGAAGCCTCCAGACAGAACACAAAGACTAGGCAGTACGAGCTTCTTTTTATAGGGACACTGTGTTTGGCTGTAGTGGTTCTTACAGCAGCATAAGCCTCTTTGCATGATGACAATATTTAGCTAGATGGCAAGAAGGCATTATAAACCAGAGGAAGACCTTTCTCTTCTATCAAGGTTTCCCTGAGTGAATAGCTGCTGAATTGCCCTACCTTACATTGCATGTGTTTTGAGGTTGCTAGGTGTTTTTTTTTTTGGGGGGGGCTATTCTGTTCACTCATCCTTTTGGCATTTTATACTCCTTGTTACTGACTTAAATACAGTACTGCCTTTCAATTGCTGTAGGCTGCCTTGGGTCTTTTTTTTTAATGAGAAAGGTGAGCTAAAAATATTTTAAGTAACTAAGTAAAGAGAGGGGCAGTGACTTCCTAGCCGTCACCTAGAAAGGGAGAAGTTTATGAACCACAGTATACAATTTTCCTGAAAATAAAATCTAAACAGAAAATAAGCCCTGGTATGATTTTTCAAGATGCTCATAATATAAGCCCTACACCAAAAATAAGCCTGAGTTAAGTGAAACCCCGCCCTCCACCATTGTGCAGCAATTAGAATACGATGACATGACTGTATTTGAATAAATGTAGATCCTTGTACATGAAAAAAAAAGACATCCCCTGAAAATAAGCCCTACTGCGTTTTTTGGAGCAAAAATTAATATAAGACCTTTGTCTTATTTTCGGGAAAACACATAACAAGGGAAAGTCTAAAAGTGAAGGAGTCCTGCTTCTGCCTCCTCTGTCGCTGCTTTCCCACACCCTCCCCCTCGCCCGGCAGCTGCTCCGAGGTTATTCCCGCCCACCCCACCACTCCGAAGGGTAAGCAGAAGCACGACAGCGGGGGCTGGTTCTCGGCAGGCTGCTGTCGTGGCACCGCGGGAGGCGCCAGAGGGGGCTCGGAGGTCTCCATGGAGCGCAGGCTGGCCGACTACCGCGCTGCCCGCCGCGCCACTGGCAACGCCACTCCCTCGACAAAGTCTTCAATCAAAGCGGCGGCCCCGGCAGTGGCCATGGCGGCGGCGGAGACGCCCGAGCAGCCCCCGCCTCGTCCCGAGGTCGGTTAATTTGGGCACGAAAGGGCCCCGTCCCGGTAGCCACATCCGGGAGCGGGAGCAGGGGAGGGGAGAGGGGCTGGCCCGCCGTTTCCCTTTCCCCTCAGACTTTAATGGGGTCGTGGCGGTGTTGTGGTTCCGGGTTTTAACGCTTCTCAGGACTGCTAGAACCGTCTTGAGGGGGGTTCTGCCTCAGGAACAACTGATTCGTCGGGTAATGCAGACTCGTGGCCATGTTTATTTGGGGAAAGCGGCCCCTTCCACGCGTTGGCTCGCCTCCTCCTTCCTACACGAGTGGGGACGGGTGGCGGGTTTCGCCGACGTGGAAGGAGGCGGCTCTGCCATTGGCACGCGGCCCGTTGGGGACGAGAGACACCCCCCCCAGCCTGCCCCGTTAGCGGCGAGTGCGCCCGCAATAGTCGTCCGGCTAGCATGCAGACGACGATTCTGTCGTTCCTTAGCGCCTGTAAAGGAAAAGTAACTGGTTTTTCTGATCCACACCTAATGGAAGCAGGCAGGGCGAGAGCAAGAAAGGAGAAGCTGCTGCCCCACTGTAGACCGAATTAAAACTTCTCCACTTTACCCTCCTTCTTCATGCCTGTCGGGGAGTGCGGGGTTTGGGAGAGCACACACTTAGGAGAAGGCTTGATTTAGTTGGGTGCCAGGAGGCGCGCACTGGTTGTGCCACAAACATCCCATTGAAAACAGTGAGAGCACAGCTGGCGGTGCCTAACTTGCCCCATTGCTTTCAATGGGATTTAGTCGTATGCACGTTTCGCTGGAGCAGAGTTCTTGTCGGGAAGCATGACTTCTCTGACAGTATCCTGCTCACGGGCTGCCTTTGAATCGTCCTTGGGGTATTGGTATCCTCAAACTATTTGTACAGCAGATTTAGTTCTGATTTTCCCTTTGCTGCACAGAACCAGAATAGGACTTGTATGGCCTGTGTGGATGGAGGGTGTGGACGTTTCTAAAGGAAGAGGCCTTTAGAAAGGAGAAAAAAAAAAGGCCTGGGCTGAATGTTTTCCCCCTTGTTTATTCAAAACTATACTGTAATCTCCTTGACTTCAGTGGGGCACACTGCAAAGTAAATGCCGATATGGTTTTTGTGCAGTACAAGCTGAGGGGTGTTTACCTGGCTATAGTCCACCTAAATACAGGTAGAATTGTTATAAATAAATATACATAGGGTTGCACTTTAAGTGCTTAACAAAGACGTCAAATGGACACTTGTGCTTAGAGTGCAGTCAAGTTGTATTAGTATTACTGGAATTGCCCATTTGACTATAGTACTTGCTGGCTCGTAGGTATTTAAATATTGCTAGCTGGTAGATATTTAAATATTTTTAGATATCCTGCTCTTGTAGCTATGATCTTGTCTGATCTTGGAAGGTTTTTGCCAGAGAAAAACTGTACTAAGTAGATGTGCAGTGACCAGTGGTAGGCATGTAATAGGTGTTTGCATCAGGGTGAATAAAATTTATGATTTTTTTTAAAAAAAGATTGATTTAAACCACAATTTAAGTCACAATTTAAATATTTTTATTTAAATTGTCAACAAATCAAATTTTAAAAATGTAAATCATGATTTAAATTGATTTCATTTGAGCAGTGACAAAGACTAGAGAAGATTTTTTAAAAAATAATTACTAACGAGAACTGGAATAGATCATTAGGTTGGAGCACTTCGATGCAGAGCCAGGAGCCAGCAGTTTGAATCTCCACTGTTGCTTAGAGGAGTAGGCCCAGCTGAGATCATCTGGAATAATCTAGGTTAGGTGCCTGCAGCCCACACAGCCATGGACAGGCTGCACAGTCCCCAACTGCCACCAGAAGGAGGGACTGAGAAATTGTTTCTGATTACAGTACTTTATATCTAGAAGATCCTGGGAGGGTAGCTATAAAGTCAGAATTGGCTTGACAGTTAACTGAGAAATTGTTTCTGATTACTTTATATCTAGAAGATTCTGGGAGGGCAGCTATAAAGTCAGAATTGGCTTGACAGTTGAAGAAGCACTGGGAAAACATGGGGAAACTGCAAATGCATGATGATGGTGTTTTGAAACCACAGTGCCTGGTAAAATCTGTATGAAGGAGCTGATTCTTTCACAAGATGTCACCTGGAAACATTTGTTGACTGAGAGGCCCCCAACATCTCATGAACTTCATCCCTTGGGAAATTTTTAATTTTTTTAAAATGGACACTAGAGGGCATCAGTTTTTTGTTTTTTAAATTTTTTTCAAAATTTTGGGGGCAATGGGGGGCCATGGGAGTGGGTGTGGCCCCTCAGATTCTAGGGATGCACTTAGGTGGCCTCTGGAAATTGCCCACTGCTGCAACAAAAGTGTGACAAGATGCTATAGTATAGAGGTTGTGGGTTAAATAGTTTTTTATATACAATATCAGAAGAATACCATCAAGAAAAAGATTGCAATCTTGGTTAATGTTATTCTTTGCTATTCAGTTAAACACATCATGTGACAGTAGACTTAGAAGTCAACATGGGCTGAATAGAAATTGTATCTACTGCACACTGAGAAGATTCTGTCCTTAATGTTTTTTTTTCTTTAACTCTTAAGTTCTTTCCCAAGGCTGGGTCCCCTTACTAGGAAAGAAATCAAATTTGGAATACAAATGAAACAAACAAATGTACATGTATGTTTATGCATACACTACTATTGTCACAATCATAATTGGTAATAGTATTTATTTATTTATTAATTTTATTTATTTGGCTGTTGTACCACCCATCTAGACAAATCTACTCCGGGCAGTTTACATTCCAAAAGAGGCAATAAAATTAAAATGATCAATAAAAATACTAAAACAAGCCAAAAACCAGAGGAAAAAATAAGTAGTGGCAGGAGGGAAGGCCTGCCTGAAGAGCCAGGTCTTCAGTTTACTCTTAAAAACTCCCAGTGAGGGAGCCAGGTGGATCTCAGAAGGGAGGATGTTCCAAAGGTGAGAGGTCACCACCGAGAAGGCCCGGTTTTTAGTTTTTTCCTTTCCTCGCTTGGAGTTAAGCCACCCAGTCTGGCTAGAATGAGTGACACGGGTAAAACCCGGCGCTGTGACAGGTATCAAGGTCCTAAACCTTTATATGTAATCATTAGAACCTTGAAATCGTTGCGGAATCTAATGGGTAACCATTGTAAGGCAGCCAGAGTAGTTTTTTCACCAGGTAGTAATCTGACCACCGTGTTCTGGACCAGTGGTTCTTAACCTTTGTTACTCGGATGCTTTTGAACTGCAACTCCCAGAAACCCCAGTCAGGACAGCTGGTGGTGAAGGCTTCTGGGAGTTGCAGTCCAAAACTCCTGAGTAACCCAAGGTTAAGAACCAGTGTTCTAGACCATTTGAAGTTTCCACATCAATCTCGAGGGAAGCCCCGCGTAGAGTGCATTGAAGTATTCATCTAATCTCGAGACTACGAGTGCATGGACAAGTATGGTGACTGCCCCAACATCAATATAGGAACACAGCTGGGCAATCCAGCAAAGATGTAAATAGGCGGTGTGGACCACAGACGTTACCTGGGATTCCATGGCAAGCGCCGGGTCAAGATGGACCCCCAAGCAAGTCGCTCCCCCAAAAGAGAGGGAGCTTCCCAAACTACTGATGACAGGGATGCCCACCCTCAAGACCTCCATCTTGTCTAGGTTCAGCCTCAGTCCATTCTCCTGCATCCATTGCAGGACAGCCCCCAGGCAGCACTCAAGGGACATAACGGCATCCACTGCTGATGGAAAAAAGATGTAGAGCGTACTGATGACACGAGGCACCACACCTCTGGATAATCCCACCCAGCGGCCTCGTAGATATTAAACAGCATTGGATAGATGATTGAGCCCTGTGGGACCTCACAATTGAGCAGCTACAGGGCTGATACATTCTCCCCAAGCTGGGATCTCTGAGAATGGTCCTCCAAGAAGGACCAAAGCCAGGCAAGAGCCAGACCACCAATCCCCAACTCGGAGAGCCTCTCCAGGAGGATACCGTGGTCGGCGGTATCAAAGGCGGCTGAGATGTCAAGGAGAACCAACAAGGACATTTTGCC